TAGACAGTATGACATTGACCTCAGGTAGTTAACGGCCACTTTGATATGTGCTGTCTTGCAATTAATATATTGTAAATCTTCATGTTTTATCATAGGGTTTGCTCCGACCTATAAGTGACTCCATTACACTCGGCCTTACAATACTTTCTTACATTTTACATTTGCATTAACAGAAATACAATATCAACAGTATATAATTAAAGATCTGTCATGTAATTATTTTGCTTTGAAAGGTCTCTCTCTCTCGCTGCTCTGAAGATGAAGAGGTTTCGGCCAAATCTGGTACAGTATCAAATATGGGATACAATGATTTTATCTTTGGGACATTGGGTTATTTAGGTGTATATCAAGAACATAAAAATATTCTGTTCGGATTAATCCATCATTGATTTTTATAACTGTTGAAATACAAAATCTGTTTCTCTTCCCTTTTGTGTAGTTACCATGACCCCCGCAACAAAGGCTATGATCACACTAGACCCTATTGCACCCTCTGCTGGACTTGATAAGAATGACCTTGTTTTTGGTTTGCCATGTTCCAGCTCCTCAGGCTCAGGCCATACATGGCATGTAATGGTGCAGTAACAGTTTTGTGACTTAATGAAAATTACTGGACACGACAAACAGTTTAACCAGATTATAGTTCGCTTTTTTTTTTATGGAATTTTGACACAAACATTTGGTTTGATCAAAGCATATGATATTGTTTACACAATGATAAATGCAATCATTCAAAATATCCCTTGAGAAGGAACTAACTGGAATCCTGAACAAGTCAACAAGCTCAAAATAAAAATATGCCAGAACAGAAATGAATAAAATAGAATAGTAAATAATGAAATAGAACAAAATGGAAAATTAAAGAATAGATAGAATAAATCAGAATAGAGAAAAATAGTGTATGCTATTTAATTCCAATCTCTTTTGTTGTAAAACAGAATAAAAATGAACATAATAGTCTAGAATAGAAAAGAATAGAGGAATATAGCAGAGAGGAGTAGAATAGAATAAATCAAAATAGAATGGAACAGGGTAGAGCCGAATAGAATAGAATGGAACAGGGTAGAGCCGAATAGAATAGTATAGATTAGAATAAATCAGAATAGAGTAGAATGCATCCAGCTGTTCTGTGCTTTTTTAATGCATGAGATAGTTCACTGTCTCAGTATTTCTGGTACACAAATGATCTGCTGACTGTTTCTACTCAGTGCTCATGAGGTCAGGAATCTGTGGCTTCATGTTCGCTGTAAAACTGAAAAGATCATACCTGAGGAGCCACTGGGACATTCCTCCCTTAAAGCCAGCATTCAGCAAAGGCAGACTCCCTGTGCTCATTACCTTTCCATCACAGACCAGCTGCTGTGGAGTCATTCATCACGATTACAAATCCACCCGGTGTTGGTAGCCTACAGCTCCACCATCAGCCTATGAGATGCACAGACAGGGCCCCAAGCCATCAGTCCCTCTGGGCAGAGTGTTACATTCACACCACAACAGGTGATAGTAGTGGACAGCAGCAGGCAGGTTTTGTTTTGAGAGAAGAACTAATGCTGGAATACTAGTTGAATTCTGCCTCCTCTGGACCTGCAGCCATAGGATGTTGATAATTAGTCAAAAATAGGGTGTGATGTCCTTATTTCCCTGAATATAGAAATGTATGTTTAAAAAGCAGTGCTATCATGTCAGATTATAATTTAGAATACACTTGAACTTCCTCTTTTTCCAGCTAAATTGATGATCCAGTTGTTAATCCATCCCAATGAAAATTGTATCACTGTGCTCCCTGTCTTCATAAGCAAATATACAGGAAAAGGAAAGCGCATGGTCTTCCAGTGAGAACCAGGCTAATTTCATCTAAATTGTCATTTCCTGGTTTGATGTGGCCCACAGGAATGCCACAGTCAAAAATTTCCAGCCTTGGAACAGACTCTTGTTCCCACAGTTAAGCCAAGGTCAAAATATAAATATATAAATATAAAGAATGACATATTCATACTTAAAACTGAGTGCTTGGTCATATTTACTTGTTATGCTGAATGCAGCTTTAAAGAAATCAAATAAAATTCTCCATAAGTTGGAGAAATCATTTTGTTCTACACTGCACATTTTTGCATCATGTTGTTCCAAGTATTCATTGCAGCCACATGTTCTTCATGTTTACACTAGTTACATATTCAAACCCAAGACTACATGTTTTTATAACTGCACCATTCCATCAAATGGAAATATTCTACACTGTCTAATAAATTGTCCTGTCTGGTATATTTGGAAACTGTGGGATCTCCAACTAAATTGAACAACCTGTTTCAGAAAGCAGGTTTAACCCTGAACTCTGAGTCGACTAAACCTGAGATGGGCAGAGTTAGTTCAGTCGCTTCTGAGTATGTTCACTGTGAGCCGTCATCACTGTGATTATTACTATGATTCATCATGGCAATGGGTAAATAACGATAAGAGCCTCCCACATTTTAATACAGTGGAGCCAGAAATATTCATGTGTGACAATGCACATTTATTTAAAACACAGCAGCAGTGAAAGAGCCTGAAGAGTCAGTAAGTTAACACATTTACGCTTTATTCAGCATAGCTCACACATTCATTATTTAGCCGACTTGAATTCTTTAGTGGATGATAAAGCTGGAATCCTACTGATAGTTAGATTAAAATTTTAAATATTTTTATTCAGCTGCAACCTGATGGGGACAAAGTGCTGCTGGCAGCAGAAGATGAAATCAAACAGTTATGTTTATTCATAGACTTATGACTTTAACCTCATAGTCTGACCCAGTAACACTCTGATTTGGTGACTTGCAGTTGATAAAAAGTTGATTGATTGTATGTTTATAATGCATATTCTGCATTTGAAAATCTTGCTGCATTTAATGACTATATTTCAACATGTAGTAAATTTAAACAGCAACTCAAATGCTTTTAAAACAAGTTAAGACTATATAGACCTATATTGAAAAACTTAATTTTTTATTACTTTCAGTCCAGTTTAGTCAGAAAGAAATATTCAAATAATCTCCAATATGAAATGATAACTATGACAGGAATGCGCCATCAGTGCAACCAGTAACGGAATGATAAATTATTATTAATTGATCAGTGTCTTTTTTTTTTATTATCACTTAAAGTGATAACTACAGTAATGTGCGGTAAATGTTTCAGTGTTTAATGTCCACAGAGTCACAGTGTTATAAAGACAGACACTACAGATTTTATTCTGGATTGTAAGGATAGACATTGCTGTCTCTATCCTTCCATTGATGACTGATTGGTCATAAAAGCAGTGCCGTTAGTAAAAGATAGTCCTTGGGCAAAGAAACTAATGTACAACCGGGATCTTCTTCTCCCGATGCAAACTGCACTCCGATATGTGGTTTGACATCCACTGTATAAATGAGGAAATGAAGTGTCATGTCAGACAGCTCCTTCAGGCTCGCCAGGAGGAGACAGACAGAAACTCTTGGGTTTCTCTAAGAGAAACCTGCCAGTAAGCAGGTTAGGTTCACAGTGCAAGTTACTACAGTAACTGACTCAGAGTTTAAGTGATTTTTGTCTCTGGAACTGAAAACTCTGAGATTCCTTCAGCACAGTGTTAACAAATGAAACCTGATTTCTGGAATACACTTCAGGCAAAGTGAGCAACTGCCCCATAGCCCCAGACATTCACAGACCCAAGAGGTTCCACATTCACTTTGTGTCTTTGTTTAGAAATACACACCATGAAATCAAATCAAATGATTGTGGCCTTAAAGCCTAAGGCTGGAGTTTTTCTATATTTTTATTATCGCCAAGAAATTTCATGAAAAGGCTATAACACTAAAAACATTGTGTTGCTTACCTGTCAACACTTTTAAGCACATTTGTTTGTGAACCTTTAAAAATGAGACACAAATGTATACTGTTATTTAAAAATAATGATTTCCTAAAACTGCTGGGCCCTGTTTTGTTTTGTTTTTAGCAAATGTTACTCCAACTTGAGCAAATAGTGTACTGTATTTGATTGGGACTATTTTCAGCTCTAGCAAGTAATTTATGGCAGCAGGATGGTATTTGTGGGATTGACTTTAAGTAAAGTACATTAAACTTTTTGTTAATATATTTTAAATAGTTTTTGTTGATTTTGTGCTTTTCATGTAATTTGTTGACAATAAGAAAATATTCCCAGACTTATCCTTTAAGGTGGGTCCTGCATTATTACCATTCCTGTCTACATGTGTCAAATTCTGCATGGTCCATTTTCTTAATAAAAGAAAAGTATTTGATAAATGTCAACTTTAATGTCTATACTTGATTATGGAAGTGTTCTGTATTGTCATGGTGCTGTATCACTACTTCAGCAGCTAAATCCTGTTTATCATAGTGTTTTATGCTTTATCAATAATGACAAATTTAAAGAAATAATCATCTCATGATATTGATTTTTATAAAGCTTTGCTGTTAAAGTTTGCAAACTACCTCACATTTCCTTTAACACTTAAATATTGTAAGTACAGCACATAATTCAGCAACTATCTAACCCTAGTTATTTCTTATGGACCCACTAATCCTGGCATCTTGTAACTGTTTTCATTTGATGTGTCTAAGCTGTGTTATTTCTGTTTGCCAATTGTGTGTTTGCCTGATTCGAATGTTTTTCTGGTTCACAGGTCTCTCTTGAAAAAGAGATCTGTCTCAATGAGTCTGCCTGATTGAGTAAAGATTCAATAAAATTCTTTCATACTAGCTGGTTCATCCTTCCACCCACTTTATCTTTACATTAAAGTATAATAAGGTCATCATTACTAGCACAAACTGTCGATTTATGTCAACACAGCTATACATTTTTATCATTGTTCAACAAACTGGCTTTGTGAATAAACATTGCTGCTGTTCTCATGTTGAATAAAGTTTCTGTGAAATGACCTTCCATTGTCATCATCCGGGTCTCTACATACTTCACATCGCGCATGCGCACTCTTCCACTGTGGTTCGACCTCTGCAGTCGGTAAGTGTGATGGCAGTTTGAATGAGAAAGTAATCTGTAAGAAATCCCTTTTCATCCTCTCTCTAAACTTAGCATTGCAGCGCAAAAGTGAGGACATTATGCAGAACGGATGTGAATATGCATATGAATGTGTTTATTTTGTCTGTGGAGCGTTTTTACACCCATTTGACCTTACTTCTCTCCGGTCTTCCCTCCACAGAGAGACCCGGGCTTCAACCAGATTTGACGGAACCGGTTAAAACAACCCAAAGTAGAAAATGTACGCCTGTGCAAAGTTCGTCTCCACGCCGGCATTGGTGAGTTTGCTTCCCTTGGTGTGTCTCCGTGCTGTGAATGTGAGTCCCGCTGTCTTTAATGTCACCGTTAAATCCGGTTGGGCCTCCGTATGAACTTGACTGTAGCTAGCTGGCAAGGGTATCTGCAGACTAGGCCGGCTAGTCAGCTAAAGCTAAAGCACTGAACGACACAGACATTTAATACCGGTGGCATTATAACAATGACCTTTATGACCAATGTGCATGTGAGTTACCTTTATTAAACTGACTGTTCCACTGATGTAGCTCTTGGCGGACATCTTCAATCATGGCCGTAAGCTAAGGTCATTATAAGCCTCTCTTAGCTGAGTTTAGTGTGGAGTATATCTGAAAAGTCATACACAACCCGGTGCAATTGATGCACAAATGTTCACCTTGTCCATTTGGACATTGTACGCTCTAAACAGGTGTAGCCTGGGCTGTTAGTCGTTCTCCAAGGTCATATTTCTGTTTCTAGTAGCTTCAACTGGCTAACCAGTTTAAATTACAATAGGTCTGTTTGATGGCCAGGTTGCTCTGCAGGATTTATAGTAGTTTGCCAGGACCATAGATTCATAGAATCACATTTACATTAACCACAAGTGACAGACAGCAAAATACTACACTTGCAAATCTTCAAATGCCACAGGTCTTACAGTGTGTGTGCTGCAGTGAATGACAATGACACTTAGGAAGTGACACTCAAGGTGCCTTCCATCTGCTTGGCAATGATACCAACAATGTGTTTTGTCTTTTGAGTGTACATGTGTGTTGTGTTAACTAAACCTGTACTGCTTTTGTCTCTGTTTTGTTGCTGCTGCAGGTCCGTGCTGGTTCCCGGGCTCTTTACAGACCCCTGTCTGCCTCTGTGCTGTCCAGGCCTGAGACCAAATCAGAGGTAAGAAGATATGCAGGCTTTCTATTGAAACTGCAAATGTCCTTGAAACACTTAGATAGTTGCTTGGGTATTTATAATATTTTTTTAGTTGATTCTAGTTTTTTTTTTTTTTTTTTAACTCCATACAATGTCAGAAAGGATTATACCCTAACATGACAGCTTGAAGCTAGTCTGACCAACAGCCAAAAAACTCCAGACCTCAAACATCAAAAAAATCAAAACTTATTGTCCCCTTACTAGCTTTTCACAGCACCGTTAGTGTTTCCTTTTGAAATGAAGAAAAGCATCAAACTATTTGCACTCTGAATGTTTAACATGACCAAGTACTTGACAAAATTATTAGAAAGTGATCTTGAATACTGGAATTTAGTTCTCATTTAATTCAGTTAATTCTGTCAGTAAGACTGTTTGTTTGAAGCACTGTTTTGTATGTCCACTTTTCATATCTTATGGCATTGGCTTCAGAGGTGAAAGTTTACGGTTTTTGACTTTTCTTGCTCCAGAGCAGTGTTGCTGTGATGCCACAGAGCCCCCTCACCCAGGTCTCACTGAGGGGCTTCCAGACCAGTGCCGTCAGCAGGGACATTGACACTGCTGCCAAGTTTATCGGAGCTGGAGCTGCCACAGTCGGAGTAGCTGGATCCGGTGCAGGAATTGGGACAGTGTTTGGCAGTCTCATCATCGGCTATGCTAGGTTTGTTTCAGTTTTGCCACAATATCTGAAAATATCCATAGAATATTAATATTCACTTGGATTAATAGAATTCTGGTGCGTGCTTTGTTTTTTTTATAGATTCACTGACAGTTTGTTCTTGTTCGCAGGAACCCATCTCTGAAGCAGCAGCTGTTCTCATATGCCATCCTGGGATTTGCCCTGTCTGAAGCTATGGGACTGTTCTGTTTGATGGTTGCTTTCCTTATCCTGTTTGCTATGTAAAAAGATCTGCTGTCATACGACACTTTCATTACAGATGTGACTACATATTTTATTGTGGCTACCAAAATTGTTCCGTGTTGGTGTCATGGAAATGTACATTTTCAAGTCTTTCAGACACTGTCAAAATAAGCAAAACATGTATCGTACGAATGTAAGGAATTACGTGATTAAAATACATGTTTTTGACTATTTAACAATGGCAGTAACTTTTATGCCTGGAATATCATGCTAGCACAACAGAACGTGGTCTGCTTTCATGAATGCCATCTTTGAAGCAGCTTAGACTTGCCATGCATCAGCCTTGTTTTCTCAGAGCATCACATGCAAGCTTTTGGGGTCCACCTTAATGAGTACTTGGTTCAGCTGAAGTTAAATAGTTATGTAATTAGGCAGCAAGTGAGTGCTTGCTTTTGTAAATGGCATTGAATAAATCTAGACAGTTAAGTTAAATAACGGGTTTTGACTTTTTTTAATGTCATGAATGAAAGTACTTGCTGGGTTGTTTCAAAAACTGATAGTCTGTAATTTAGGCTAATAGGACTGAACTTTGTTACAACCTGAAACAGTCAATCAATTTAAAAATGTCAGTTTTAGTCCTGTATTATTGTTTGGGTCATTTATCAAGCACTAAAAACCCTAGAATTTTATGTTTCCAACTTCTCCAAACTCTTTTAGTTTTCCCATCTTTTTGTACCATCTTTTATGCTGATGATCTTTAGATGTCTATTAAATGAAGCCATTACTGCAGATGAAAATGAGTAGTTGTGGCCCTAAACTTGGTGATTAAAACAGATTATATAATTGATACATGCCATATGAAAGAAATATGTGATAGTATCTGATAATTTGCACACTCAATGAAAGTTTTTGGTTGAGAATTCAAACTTGAAAGCCAATGTGTGCACTGCTACATTTTAATGGTTCTGCATGGTAGCCTTGTGGAAATATAATACAAAATCCTCATATTACCTGCTTGTATCAGTAATAGTTGTTAATAAATCACCCTGAACCAAGTAAGCTAGTATTTAAAGTTAACAGATTACTGCAATGCAAATCTCTACACAAAATATATAAACATATTCAGCAGTTTCAAGGTGCAATAACCAAATGATCAGTCAGAATTTCTACATTTATTGAATAATATGAGCATACATTTTCCAGCAATAACAAATGCATGATTCATTATTTTTCAAACAATTGCTTATATGAATGTAATTTTATAAGAATAAAATAAAATTTAGAAAAGGAAAGTATACAATTAGCAAATTCACCAACAACTAGTCATAATTTAGTTGTGCATTTATGCCCATTTGTTCGTCATTAGTCACAAGTTCTATCAAGTTCAGTCATTTTTATTTGGGCAAAACTTGCATGTAAAATTTGTGCATTATGAATATGCATTATGAGATTTACAGTAATGCGGAGAGAGTCAGTGTTTCATTTCAATGTAGTCGTGTTTTTCTACACAATTGCTACAGAATGATTAATTTTGTTTAGAATAAATTCCAGTAGTAAATGAAAAAAACTATGACAAGGGTCAGTCGTGACGAAATAGATGCAGAACCGCTTTGTGTGACGTTTACGGAAAAGACCAAGCACATCTCGCGATATTTTGATACAGACGTGGGATTTTGGAAGTCGAGGGTTGTGGCTGAGGGTAAGTGACCACAGAAACTGACAGCGACTAGTCACAAAGCTGCTGTTAAAGACTTAATTTCTGGCACGGTGCGGGACTTGTGCTCCGATACAATGAAACTGCCTCGAAACAAACGCTGATAGGTCCTCTGTTTACAGTGGTATTTAGGTCCAAACATGGCGACGGTTGTATGTTAACGCAGGGCTCAGGCTATTTCATGGAAGCGACTGAAACAGATGATCGCTCCCTCTGTTATAATATTACAGGATTTATGTGTGATGTCTTTTCATCAAGTGTTCAACACAAAAAAACGTACGAGTGGTTCATGGTGTCCTTCTCGGTCGCATACTCGTCCCAAAATAAATGGACCGAGAATTTAGCGTCTTTTGTGGTGACACTGAGGGTGTAAACAACCACAGCAGCCGCCCCTCATCGACATGCTTTGTCCGTAATTCACAGGACCTTCACCTTTACAGTGCTACTCAAACCCTCCGTTAGTCACACATAATCCGATCTCAGCTCTGAGCATCTGCTGAAATTAATATTAACTACAACCACAACGTTTACTTGACACGTCGAAGGATGCAAAAACCTTATCAGTAACACACATTAACGCTCATCTTTAGGTCTGATATCTAAATCCATCTGTGCTTTTTCCTGTTTTATTTCAGGCTGACATAACAGGAATTCCTTAATATGAGTGATGATAAACCTTTCCAATGTACTGCTCCTGGGTGTGGACAGGTAAGTCATCTCTTCTCTCATATTGTCAATTATCCTGTGTTGTACTGTTTTTTAACTGTGCGGTGATAAAGATACATTTTCACAACATGGAAAATGAAGGTCGTTTGCTCCAGATTTTATCCTTGTACATCATGTCTCATCATCCTGTCTGTTTTCTTTTTCAACCTTTCAATAGAGATTTACAAATGAAGACCACTTGGCTGTCCACAAACACAAACATGAGATGACCCTGAAGTTTGGCCCAGCAAGGAATGACAGTGTCATCATTGCTGGTAGGTGCAGTTGAAGTTCATATATTTTGATGTAATTGATACTTTAAACCAGTGCACTTAAGATTGTCCTCCACTGCAGATCAAACCCCTACACCTACCCGCTTCTTGAAGAACTGCGAGGAGGTCGGGCTCTTCAATGAGCTTGCAAGTCCGTTTGACCATGACTTCAAAAAAGCCACTGAAGATGACATTAAAAAGGTTGTTCTCATGAAACTTGTCAGCAGATTACCGGACTCGCGTCTGTTCCATTGTTAGTATTTCCATCTATGCTCTCTCCGTGGCTGACCTGTTCTTCTGTGCCTCTCACTGTTCTGCAGTTACCACTGGATTTGTCACCTCTTGCAACGCCTATTATACGCAATAAAATCGAGGAACCCACAGCAATGGAGGCACATCGAGATAGCCCTCTGCCTCACCCCGAATCTACAACAAGTGACGACAAGGTAAAGGCATTCAATAAGATGCCTCTGGTATGTGTGCTAATCACAGAGAGTTTACAAAACTGTCATAAAGGATTTTCTCCTGGTTCTGTGATCAGTAATTTACTCAGATCTACTGGTATGAATATTAATATAATAAGTATTTGGATTTTTTGGTAATTTTAATCTGACTTTGAATTGACTAAAGTAATACCTATGTCTTATACTGTTGTGTAAACACTGAAAAATACAGTGCTGCACAAAAGATTATTCATAAAATTATTATTATTATTATTATTATTAGGTGGATTTGAACAATTAGCTCTAATTATATTCCTCATATTTATTGTTTTAATTCCTAAAATATCAGAATCATATACTAGGAGCTAATTAAATCTGGTTTTCATTAAACACTTCCTGCAGCTAAGGTGTTGTATGATGTTTCCAGGATTTATCTTTGCAGCCAGCCTCACTGCCAACATCCACTATAGTCCATCCTGCATCCCTCCAAGTTCCCAATGTACTTCTAGCAACCTCAGAGGCTAATGTTGTAATACAGCAAGCTCTCCCATCGCCAACATCTAGCTCTGTTATTACCCAAGTCCCATCCACTAATAGGCCTATAGTGTAAGTAACTTGAAATGTCAATTTTTAAAAATCATAGTTTTTATTACTTCATCCTTTCCTTTTTAAAATAATTTTTGTGCAGTTTTGTCTTGGTGAGCTCATATTTCATGAGGCATGTGCTTGTTTGTTTTTGATTTATCTGCACTCTGCAGGAATGTTTATTTTTTGGCTGTAGACCTCATAAGGTCCCGTCTTCATCAGTGTTGCTCAGATATAGACATACTGCTTAATTCAATTTGTGAGTGGTGGGAAAAAAAAAATGAACGAGGTTTTCACAAAATCATCACTGTCACAGGTGTATTAATGTTTCAGACTGACACAGATGATTTGATTGAAAATCCTCAGTGTTTTAAGAACAGCAAAATTTATTTGGAACCAGAAGTCCATATATGGGCAGAACTGATGTTACTTACTGGATCTAATGTGGCAGTAAAACCTGTTCTTTTAATAATATTGCTTGACTCTGTTATGCGACAGGTGTCTTATTCACTTTAAGTCTTTTTTGAGTTGGATTTTGTCTTGGGTTCCATTTTTTCCCATCAGTTGTTGCCTGAATATGACTTTATGTTAGTAGCCACTCTGATGTTTAATTTGTTTGTTGTTAAGCACAAAGATGTTTTCCTCACTGGGATTTCTTTTCTCTCCTCCTTCAGCCCGGTGTCTGGCACCTTCCCTGTGCTCTTACAGCTGCCTAACGGCCAGACCATGCCAGTTGCTATACCTGCGTCTATTACAAACTCAAGTGTACATATTCCAACTACAATCCCTGTGAGTGTTCTGCTGGTTATATTATGTTAATATTGTGTTTCAGTGTGTGTTTAAAACTGAATTTTAGTCCACTGTGGAATTATAAATGAGCCTTTTCCCTTTTCTGATATTTATAACTAACAAGGAAAGACAACAAAGCATTTGTTGACAAAACATTTTCACCTCAGGGTCCATTAAGTAACTGTTCTGGACCCTTTGATCATATTGCATGATCTTCATCTGCAGACACAGAGTTAGCCCAGTTGTTATAGAATTGTAAATGTTTATGCTTCATTTTGTTATGTTTTATGAGCACTCGAAGGACTTCTTGTCCATGTTAGCTTGAGCTTCATAGTTCGGTCTTGTCCTTGGACAACAGTCATTGTTGAAACACTCTCACCTCAGAGTCCATTTAGTAGTATTCTTTAGCTTTCGATCATATCACAAAGCTCCAGAACTAACGCCAAATGCTTTTATAGATGAGATTTTTTGTTGACGGCTGTTTTCCAGGGACTAGAATGAACAAACTAATGAACTAAAGCATTTGTTTTCTCCAGCCACGTAACTTTGGATTATTATTGTAGTCCAGTGTGTAGACTAACAAAATCACTGGACTGTGTCGAATAACACGCTTTGCTGGGCATAAGTTTGCTTGTGAAATGTTGCCTTTGTGCATCCAGGAGATTTAACATAAAACACATCAATCACAGCGGAATAAAATTACTACTGTTTATTACTCACATTTTAAATTGGAGAGTGTGCACAGGCAGTTGTTTACATCAGCAAAACTGAAGTCCTTCTCAGGTGACATTCAAATTAGACTTGCACTGTGGCGAGGCATTAATACCACATACCTCCTTTGCTCTACTTGGACAGAGGGAGTATTTACAGCTTTGGCACCTCAGATTTGGCATTCAATTCAAAGCAATTGAGGTTGAGTGAAATAATGGACTTTAGAGTACAACTGTGCGTCACTGTGGCAAAGACACAGGAATTGGCTGAGGCACAGCAGGCGCCAGTCCAGGATACTTCACTATTTGTCCTTGTACAATTAGAATCAACGCTCTTGATTTCTGGCAGAGCAGATAGATGATGCTACTAATGCATTTTGCAAAACCAATTATAACAGCAACCCATGACAGTGTCTCATATAGGAAATTTGTTGTAAATGAAGGTCTTGTTGATATTTTTTTTAACTCCCTCATGTGGAAGCTTGTCCTGTTGTTCACTGTAGTCCTGATTGTCTGTGTGGAACACTGAGCAGCAGATGATTATCTCCTGATAGCGGCACAGCAGGGAAAAAACCTGTATCTTTCCAGTCTGTGGGGACTGGGAAAGCCGTTGACAAGCAAAGGAGGGCAAAAGTAAATGGAGAACATGAGCCACCAGTGGGCCTCCCTTTCACTCGATCATCTCCTCCCCCCTCTTCTTTCTTTCCCTCTCCAGCTCTCCCCACCTCCCTCTGTCTCATTGTCAGCGGCTGTGAGAGGAGGCCTGGCTCTGCCCTTCCGACTCGTGTCTCTCCATCCTCTCTTCAGTTTCCCTGTCCATATGCTCTCACGCAGGCAGGCAGAGGTTCATTAGCGTGCACACTGCATCTCCATGTGGCGCTGCCTCCACAAAATAACAGGCCATCCAACCTAATGAGGCTGAGATATGAGGAAACTCTGAGAGCCTGCCGCGACTGCTTGTGTGTTTGTGTTGTGGGGCAGCGCCGCCTGCCTTTTTACTGCCGAAGACTAATTTTCTCTGTGCTGATCTGTGTCTCTGCTGTCAGCTTGTCAGACCTGTCACCGTAGTGCCTAACGTCCCCGGGATCCCAGGACCTCCCTCGCCACAGCCACAGGCACAGCCACAGGCACAGCCCGCCCAATCAGAAGCAAAACTGGTATTTATTATCTCTTCTTTCACATCAAATATAATATCTATGTTGCATCTGTTATTTCCTGTCGGAGAGAGATAATGACAACCAAAGTAATGAGAGAGTTTGATGATAAGGAAATAGTTGCTATCTTTGACCTAATGAGGGCGCTAGAGTAAACCTGGGTGCGCACTATCCAAAACATTTTTAATTACAATCACCCTTTATGAATGAACTGTCCAACTGGATTTCTACTATCTGATATTTCTTCAAAAACTGATTTCACCGTCTCATGGAGCTGCAACGATTATCCAATTAATCAACAGAAAAATTAATTGGTAACTATTTACAATAATAATAAATAAAACATTTGATAACAATACAGTAAAATGTTAAAAAAAAAAAATACCAGTAAACCCAGCTGTGAGAATTGCTGCTCTTGTTTGTCAAACATGATAACGAAGTGAATATCTCTGGCCTTGGTCACCCTGGACTCTGGGAAATGACAACAGGCATTTCTCACTATTTCCTGACATTTTCTGGATAAAATGCTTAATCGATTAATTGAGCAGATAGTCACAAAACAGAAAACAGAAATACTCCAGCTGTTTCTCTGTGGGGAGAAGACAGTCACAGCAGTCTTGTAACTTAAGTCCTCCTGTATAAAAGTGATAGTTGAAGGGCAGGGATATGAAGCGTTGTGAGAGAGATCAGTGGCAATGTGATGAAGCACGGATCACAGAACCTGTAAGTGTTCGCAGCATGCTCCGCCTGTGGAAATTAACAGATAAACTATTGAGAGGAGGTGTGTGTGTGTGTGTGTGTGTGTGTGTGTGTGTGTGTGTGTGTGTGTGTGTGTTGGGAGGGAAGGAAGGAAGGAAGGAAGGATTGATCCTGACTGGCGAGAAGGAGGGATGGGAGGGGGTGGGGGTTGTCGGGGATCATGGGGTACGGAGATGACAAACGCGGAGACAGCGTTGTGCTCAGCACGCCGTCATCGGGGCCAACCGGAGGGGGGCTACCAGCGAAAGCCAGCTGGGGGGCATCCTGGCACACGCTCAGCGAGGCACATTAAGTCGGCCTCACCCTGCATGGAACCTTTTGTTCAGCAGAATCCTGCCTGACCTGCATCCCCCCTCTTACTCCCGGCGCCTCCCACCGCACTCAGCTCATCAGCAAACACCTAATGAGCCCGCGTCAAGAAAACAGACCCCCGCTCAACCTGCCTGCTCCCCGCCCCCACCTGGCTCTCAGGGGGCGTGGAGACGGCACTTTACAAGGACTGATGATGCTGCAAAGACCACAATAATGATAATTAACTTGCTGAATTTAGAAGATTATGCTGTTAATTAGTTGCAAAATAAAGATAAGTAATATAGTAGCAGATGGTTGAATAACACCCATGAGATGGAGGGTTATTACACTGATGAGGTTTCCATGGCAGAGATGAAATATGAATCTGACTGGCTTTTCCCTCTTTCTATGGGCCATTCCAAGAGAATAATATCTTGTTTCTGCCAGAAGAGCTTCTGGAAGGGTATTACACGATAAACTAATTTGGTAGATAGATTGCTCTGGCAAAGGTAGTTGTTAGAATAATGTGGTCCTCTGTTTTCTCATGTAAATGTATTCACTCTCACTTTGTTATTGCTTCGAAAGGCTCATTCACTTTCACCTTGTTTGCTGAGTGTTTGATGCTGGAGGAATTGGCCTGTGAATCATGGGCACCAATCTGTGGAGAAATAGTTTCTGTGAATGGGCTGCGTTTTTGTGTGTGTCCCATGCAGTCAATATTCTAAAGTAAATTTTATAGTTCAGGTGACATTATGTGCCATGGATGTGCCTCACCTTTTTGTATCCAGATGAGTGTTAGGAGTGTGTTACATGCTTGCATCAGTTCTTTTTTTGTTGTCTTTTTTCGTTGCAAGGTTATTTGAATTCTCCTTTTTAACTACCTTTACTGTTTCAGGATTACTTTCAGCTTCCTTTTATTCTTGACTTGTTTGATTTCATTTTTTTACTTAAAATCCTACAGTATACCTTAATTTTAAGGGGAAATGGAATGCCACAGTAGTTGTAGCAGTATATGTCATATAATAACTTGTTCATATAATAACAACTTGTTCTCTGCTGACTGCTCTAAACTCAGTAGCTTCATTGGAGCAAGATGTTACAGTCTGTTCACTAACTGCTAACTGTCTGGTGTTGTTCATCTTTTGGAACCTCCTTCCTTAACTTTTTAAAGCGAACATTTTTGTTTGCAAGTTCTCAAATGCAGCTATCAAGAGACACTAAGACACTAATTTTCAGATATTGAAAACATTGAGCCATCATGCTTAGTTAATTTTAGTCTAGTTAAAGTGTATTTCAGTTAGAATTGGATTTTTTCTACCAATAATAATAATAATAATAATAATTTTTCTGTTACAACGAGATTAATTCCTAATGAGGTGAAAATCATAGTTGTATAGAGTAACATGCCTTAACAGCCAGTGAAAATAAACTTTGATAATCTACTTCAAAAGTTTTACCTTAAAAGGTCTATTTTAAAAAATATATATATCATCTGCTGGCAGCATGACTTCTATCTACTTACCATATTTACTTGTATATCATTTTGCTCTCACAGTTTATGACACAGTTTTCTTTGTGCTGAATCCTCTTCACAGAAACTGAAAGCCACATTAAGCCAGCAGCTTCCTCAGGTAACCAATGGAGATGGTGTTGAAGTTCAGAGCAGCGCTGTAACTCACACGGCCGCTCCCGCTTCTCCCGCCCCGACCGTGACCCCGACCGTGACCCCGACCCCGACCGCAGTCCTCACACCCACTCCGGCTCCTCACCTGCCCACAACTGAGGAACCTTCTCCCCATTCCCTGCAACAGCCAGCCACCTCCACCACAGAGACACCTGTGAGTATTCACAACTACACTATATAGGGATGATTATCCTCTCATTACAGTGTTGCATCAGTGTCCCATAGAAGAGACTGTTTTATTTCTTTTATCTGTGGGTATGTGGACATGCACTGCTGGCCTGCATTAAAGCCTTTTGTAAGCACAACAGCTGTTTTAACAAGATGTCAGTTTGACTCAAAACTGGATCTCATTATGTCATGTCTTTGTGTGTATAAACTGACATGACAAGATCATGTGAAGACAGACAATTAAACTGAAAACTGAATGTGATTAGTAACAGTGGAGTTAGTATTTTTTGTGTGTAACCACAGTCCAGTTACAGGTGCACAGTGACGTCAGCAGTGCATACACCACAGATGTGGTGGTGATTTTGCTGTGATAGTTGTTGTTCTATATCATTATTCTTTGTTATTGTCCAGGCTTCCCCGGCGCCCCCTGCGCAAAACCCGCCAAGCACAGGGGGTCGGCGGCGCAGAACCACAAGTGAAGACCCTGATGAGAAGCGGCGCAAGTTCCTGGAGCGTAACAGGGCTGCCGCTTCTCGCTGTAGGCAGAAGAGGAAAGTGTGGGTCCAGTCTCTGGAGAAGAAGGCTGAGGACCTCAGCTCCATGAACGGACAACTACAGGTGCGCTTTACCTCTGACTCTCACCTGCTGCATGTCACTTAATGTATGTATTCATGCACATGTCTGTTTATCATCGTCTGCTGCTGGCGTAAGCGTGTGTACACAGACTTTTCCCTTCTGCGGTGATGAAGTCATTAAAGCCGATTAAGAAGAGCTGTCATGTGACAGCAGCAGTGTGTGAGCCCTTTACATCGATATGTCCCTGTCAATAAAGATGTATCCTCCAGATGTCAGCTGCACACAAGCGTGTCTTCACTTCTGTCTCAGCAGTTTACTGAATGGCCTCAAAAATCTCCTAGGGAAAGGTGTCTTTTTGAACCTTCATTTCGCTGGAAGCAATTAGGATCTGATGCTGACAAGTTCGAAACAGTTCATGTATCTGCTGTCTCTGTTGATAAGTGTGAGCCGGGGGTGCAGCACATCGGTGTTCCAGACAATTAAATGAGATGTGGTGTTTATTTGCTCACTGTCTTATTTTTCCATGAAAGCAGAGTAAGATGTGGAAGGTGGAGGAGGGGACAAGCAGCAGTGGAAAAGAAATGGGTTCGTGTCATTAATATCTGGTTCACAAAACAAGTTATCACCACTTGTCACGGGTGCACTAGCTGAGAATTTTCATAAATGTAGGTAGATGAAAGGGGAGGGATAGGTGAGTAAATGCTGTTATAAACAGTAAGAGCATTGCTGTTAACTACAAAGAGGGGAACAACATGTGGCAGAGAATAAAAGGGCGTTTTATATGAAGGCATTAATCAGCAGTTCAGTTTTTGTAAAAACCCCCATGCTGACATGGCCCAGCTGATCAGTGAAACTGCCTCTAATGATGCACAATTATTTTAACATCATCCTTAACTGGCTTTTTAATGAGGTGTCAGACCAGGCAGCTCACAGGGCTCCCAGCATTACCCAAGGCCCATTTGCTCAATTTTGATTTAATTCACAAAGTTAGAAACAAGTTAAATTCTCAGAAGTCCATCTTAGTCAGGATTCACATTCCCTGTATGATGCAGTTTGATGTTACTGTAGCTGTAGCATCAGTGGCGGAGCTTCTGTCATGGGTTTGACTTCACCTTACAAGTCAATGATTTTATAAACACATTTGTAAGTCAACCAAATACTGTATTTTCACAGCTAATCGCATAATATTATTGCATTTTGTGACTTTTATTTACATGTATATTTTGTATGCTTCTTTTAAGTGAGTCGGAGGGAGAGCAGAAAGGAACGCCGGTGTTTAAATTGGCTGTATATTGCAGCAGTCATGGTGGAGGCACAGTGAATATGGCATTGGCTACATGTGATACATACGCTCTTTCCAGCTGTGTTTAAATCTGTCTCACAATAACTCAGCCCTGCCAACACCAGCAAGACTAAACAGATGGAATCAAATAAATTGGCTGCTTTTAGACTAATAGATTAAGCTGCCCATAGTCCTTTAAAGGAGAAGAGAAGGAGCTTAAATCTGCCATTGGGTGTTCTCTGGGCCCCTGGCCGCTCTAAATCCAGTTAAAGTCACCTTCAGCGTAATGTGGCTCTCTTTTACGACATGCAGAAATCCTCAGTTCCCTTGGGAGCTGTAACAACACAAGAGTGTAAATCTCAGCAGCATCTACAAAGTTGCACTGACAATCCGAACAGCTCACCTCTGACAAATGTGCTGGTCGGTAGCCAGTGAAGGCCCATAATTATTGTGTAGGAAAAACATAAATGAAGGAGTACATCATACTTTATTCTGAATTCATACACTGTGCTGTTACCTTTCCCTGTGTTTGCTCTTTCTTGTTGGACAAAGTATGAGTGTATCTGCAGTAATGTAGTGGTCATGTGCGCTTACTGTACAGAGGAGGTCTTGAATATTTGACCCTGTGATCCCATTAATAATTGGCATTACATAAAAGATACAGCTATTCATGCAGGGCACCAAGCCACATTCAGGCTGTGATGTAGCTTGTATGCTGTGCAGGGTCTTGCAGGTATCCTGTTCAGACTTAAGTCTTAATCTAGCTGTCTATTTTACTAGAACTAGACCGTTAAGTCACGTGGGCAGACAGGTTTACTTACAATTTCGTTTTCCAGGTATATCAGTATCAGCTTAACGGTTTGGTCAAAAACAAGAACAGCACAGAAAAGCTAAACATACATTTCAGATAGGGTGGAATGAGTGCCATCATTACATAGTTTGTCCACCAGAGAGCACTGACACATTTGTTGTTAAAGTTAAAGGTTCCGCTCACATACATACAGCTCATCGCGGCCCTTTAAAAAAACAAATGCTCTGAACTTGCACTGTATGTTATGAGTTAAAGTTAATACCAACTGATACATTACTGGATATTTGTAACTCTCAAATATCAATATCACTATTGGTCACAAAAGTCAAGTATTAGTCAGGCTCTACTTCAAAGAAAAGGTTAAAACCTTGTAAGTACATGGGAAAAGGTTCTAATTCATATTTGAGTGGTTGAAATCTGAAATCTGACCTCCATCTAATTTGGTAAAATTGTTTTGGAAAAGTTGAACTGCACATGTCATCTGTTTGTCTTCATTTTTTTTTTAAATCTGACATACTGTACGCTCTAGAGTGACCATTTTATTGAGTGCTGTTGTGTGTCTCCTCTCTCCCAAAGAATGAAGTCACCCTGCTGAGAAACGAAGTGGCTCAGCTGAAGCAGCTTCTCCTGGCTCATAAAGATTGCCCTGTAACCGCCATGCAGAAGAAATCTGGCTATCACAGTGAGTAATGCTCCATTATTCTCAGCCCGAGGCTTCCACTGAAACGCTTCTAAAATGAGCTCCAGATAACCACAAGAAGGACACGTCTTACTTATGGCCCAATGGAAAGAGCTATTGACATATTAAATCCCTTTTTAAAAAAAAAAACTTTGTAAAAAAGTTGAGATATATTTGGACAATGTTGTATGAGACAGATTGTTACTGGAGTCCTTTCTCGAGGCCACAGGTGGTAACCACAAGAACGCAGTTGTTGTCTCCTCATTTGACACCAAAATAAACATTTGTCAGATGGAACTAAATATCTACTGCGAATGAATGCAAAAGCATGTAGCACCCACATAAGGTAATTGAAATGTACCTTTTACATCTCCATGATCATCTTTCTAAATACTTGAATGTACAAGAAGATTCTGCCATTTACATCCTCTTCATTTAAATTTCCTGTTGTCAGCCTGCGCTGTGCAGTCGCATCACATGGTCTCATTTAGAAATATATCGCCTATATTTCTTCGTTTCCCAAGACTGGGGTTCTGTCATTCTGATTTTCTGGTCATAACTCACCCCCCCCCCCCCCCCCCCACACACACACACACACACACACACACACACATACACACACACACACACATAAGCCAGTATGCAACAAGAACAAGTGCGCTGTGAGCCACTTCTCCACTGTGCTCTAAACACCTCCGCCGACTTGTATTGACAATGATTGCCTCTGAAATGAGTCCATTAAAGCAGCAAGCTTGACAAGACTGCAGAGCATACTCGTTGTGGGATGTCCACCAAGCTTGGCTGTTCATTATGCATCCCTTACTGCTAACCATCCCTCTGACACACGTCATGCGCATTATGGGACTGATGGTTTACAGGCTAGAGTGGGCTGTCAGAGCCAGGTCTCATTTAGTGTCGTCTGGATTGTTTTTATCGGGATCCGCAGATGAATTGGGTCATCGCTCTCATGTGTTTGCTGAGGACGTCTGTCCTGTGTTTCTAGACCTTTTGTGAAGGATGACGTTTGGAGCGCTTTTTGTGCAGTTTGGGGAAAACATAACCTCATCGATATACCCCAGTTCATCAGTTTGGTTCATTATGACAACCAAGAAGGAAAGACAGAGTGAAACAAAAGTCTGATAGAAAGAATGAAACAAACCAGCGGTTCCCAGGCTTCTTCCTCTGTCTGACCCGCACAGCTCTATCCGATGAGCTCAAGAATCCCTTCATCAACTCCACCTATCATTCTAAATTGATCTTAAACAGGATGTTATTTAACATTATTATTCATGTACGTAACTAGATATTACAATATCTACATTACAGTTGAACTGTTTAGATCGGTGTGGTCATTTTTGCAGTCAGAACACTCAAAGTCGAGTTGTTATGACTGATTCAACATGTGTATATATACATATATATTTCTTAAATCAAATATATTCTATATTTTTTCAAATTACTGGAACTACTCCACAATCTTTGCACTTAACCCCCTCTCAGCTGTAGAAGTACCCCCTCGAGTACAAGTGCCCCTGGTTGGGAATCAATGAAATAATCGATCTCACTAATTAGTAAAACACATTATTTGATTCTGACTGATCCGTGGCTCTCAGTCATGTAAAGGCCTCATCAAGCGCTCCGTTTTCCGAGAGTTACACATCCCATAAGGCTACACTGCCCCCCAGACCCAGTAATACCCTTCATCGTCCTGACCAGGCGTAACCATGGCAGGTGGGAGGAAATTACCCAGACTGCCCCACAAACAAGCCAGGACATGCTTTCAGTTGGCACACCAAGCTGTCCATCTGCTTAGAGCGAACCCCACTTCAGAAACCAAGAGAGCAGAAAGAAGCTCCGGCTGCCCAGGGAACCAGAATTTCTGAGTATTATTATACATCAGCCAGCCAGCTCTTAATGTCATTAGGAGTAATAATGCTCACTTGAACATGGAACAAAACCACAACGCTGATTTATTCTGAGGTTGACCTTCTGCATAATAAAACAGCAAGGGAGTTTATAGCGCTTTGACATTCACTTGCACTAAATCACACGGTCAAAGTCCAGTCAAGAGGGCGGATGAAGCTCCTAATGTAAAGACATTTGTATTGCACTTTAATTGCGTCCTCTTGCTATGGAATCTGTATTTAACAATCTCAGATACGAGTCCCAGTCATTAATTACAAAGTGCCATAACAAGTGACTTCATATCATTAGCAATATTAATTATCATTGTGCTCCTTATTCCTTTATGAAACAGAGCATGAGAGTAGAGTCTCTTTTCTTTTTTTTTTTCTTTCCATCCGGATCCAATTAATTCAATGCAACTGCCTAACAGCTGGTGGCATTTCAACTCCAAGTCTTCCCTACTCTCCAGTGTGAGCATCATTAAAATCAGGTGCTGTAATCATCTGTCGCTGCAGTAGTTGGCAAGGTAACAAAAAACAAATGAGAATGCAGTTAGGGATGGGAAACACTGCCACATGCCCCAGAATGTAATGCACCCTTATGATGTGGGTTTAAATTGACATTGGAGTTTTAATTAAAGGAAGGGATGCAGAAGTAGCATTATGGGGATTAATGAAATGGTTTGCATACACCACATGCAAATAGCTCTTTTACATCTGGTTAGGCCTACATGACAAAGATTTCCTGAGCTTTTCTGGATTGTATCAGGTAAATGCTGTTAATTAAAACAGCATGAAGCAGCAGTGTAGGAAAAGACATTATCGCGATATATCAGCCGCCCAGCGGTGATTTTCTGTGTTTTCTTTGCAGTCTCTGACAAAGACGAGAGCTGCGAGGAGATGTCCGTCCCTAGCAGCCCGCAGAACGAGGCCATCCAGCACAGCTCCATCAGCACCTCCAACGGGGTCAGCTCCTCCTCCACGACCCCGGCCGTCTCCGCCCCGTCCAGCGCCGCCGCCGCCGCCGCCATCACATCAAACCAGAGCACAGAGGAGAGCCAGTCGCGGCGGGGCGCCGCCCAGTCTCAGCCTTCAGGGAGTTGATCATCCCAAACTCTGCCCGAGCGTCAACACTGGAGCTCCGTTGCCTCTTGTATCTCTGTGACAAACAGGGGAAAGCGATTCTCTCTCAGCTTCAGTTTGGACCGTTCTGTTTTTAATTTATTCTTGATTGGTTTGTTTCATGTTTGGTCCATTTTGTCCTCCATAGGCAATGCTTTTTGAAAATGCAATGTTTTCTCTGGAATTGATGAAGACAAAAGAACAGGCACTTTAGGTGTAAGATGTAAAATACGTGGTTCTAAAATGTTTTTGTATTTGTGTGATTTATTTATTAATCTTATATATTTTTTTATTTGAAGGCGATCAGCCTGAACGGTTGATCAGTGAATTGTTAGAGACCTTACCAAAGTGTGTTGTGGCTCATTTGTAATTTGTTTGTTTTCATGACTTTTATAAGCACTATCTTTATGATACAGTTGCATAAAGAGCAGTCACTTTTTGTTACAACTTGCTTTTTCCATTTTGCACATTTTGAGAGATGACGGGTTTACCTTTTTGGAGTTTGACAGTCCACACGTTAAGTACTGGCAGCTTTTTAGAAGTAGATTTGAATACTGTCACATTACACAAATGTAAATGCCAGAATCAGATTTTAAATTTGACAACTTTTCTGTGAGTGAGATCAGCTGTAGTCACATTGTGCAGTTTGAATGTTTGAGCTCACCTCTGCTTGTAAAATAGTCTTAAGGAGGTGGGTTGGTTAGAAATGTTTGTTATTTCATTGACATTCCATCTGTAGTCGGATTGTTCCTGAAGCAGTGATTGTAGGATTGCAGTACATTTTCCATTACTCAATCATGGTGATGTTGACTTCATTCAGTGCCATTAATGTTTTTGTATAAATTACTTCTGTACCTTTTCAATGCAGATTAGCTTAAGTTCATTGCCGTTCTTTCATATTAAGGGTCTCATGAACATACTTGCTCAGTAGAGGAGATGTATTGCTTTTATATACTGTCTTTGCTTTATAAGTGACTGTTTATGGCTCCAGTGTCTAACGCAGAACACTTAAGGACATTATGCTGTTTTCATGATTGCAATTCTAGATGACGTTTTTAGACAACATTGTAAATAACATCAATGATACATTGTACGTGATCTTTTGAGGTGTTATGTACTCTGTTTTTATTTGTTTTTTCTATAGGATAGTCTGGATTCAGTAGCTGAGCTCTGTTGATCACATGACCTAGGTTAGCAGTTAAAAACTGACCTTTAAAATCTTCCAATCAATAGGATAGTCCTCTCCCTGACTCAATAATGTTGCCATGTAAAATGAAAGCATTCGGATGTGAACTGGAATCACATCATGTATATTAGAGTAACACTACTACTGCTTTGTAAGAATTGTGAGCGTTTCATCATTGAAATAATTGTAGGAAGCAAATCGCACCATGAAGTCAATTTGCCTTTTCTCTTAGTCTGTACCGGCTTACTACTGTGTAGTTTTACGAGAAGCTAACACATTGTTTTCTTAAAGTATGTTTGTTTGTTTTTTTATTTTACTGTTATGTGCTATCTGCATGAGTTAATAATTCTCTGCGAGAATTTAACGGTTTGTTCAATAATGTCTCAGTCAGATAAATATCATTAAACAAGTTGTTTCAACTTGAGTTGTGGCTCTAAGATTATGAAAACTTTGGTTATTTGTTTTACCATGGCTTAACTGCTAAAAAAAGGGGTGTGATACTGTGTGGAAAGTGTACTTGTAACTTGTGAAAGTTCTGTATAAAATTTGAATTGATATGTTGTTGTAATAAACCTTTTAATATCTCTTTAAAATCCACGTCTGCTTCCATTTAATTCTCCAGGCTGATTTACTCTCTCATTAACTACACGTCGAATGAAATGTGTGAATGTTTTAAGTAAAAAAACGAATAATGGTGGCAACATTTTACTAAATTACATTTCTTTAAAAAAGATGATAATGTCATTAATGGATTTAGTCCAGTCCTGACCACAAGGTATCACAGCATTTTCCCTTCACATGAAACCACCGTGTATTGACAAGAACAGAGCAGCTGAAGAGTCACTGTTAAAACGAAAGAGATCAAACTTGTTGCTGGTGACAAAAATATTTCTTGCGGTGTATTCTGCCACCTTGTGGAAGATCTGCATGTGACCAGATTTCATCCAGCTGTACACAACTAGAGGTAATGACTATTTTTGTTCTTTATCATAATTCTCTAAAAAATAATACTGAACTTATTTTACAACAGCTTCAGTGAACTTCTCCCCAGGGGCGGATCTACTGATTTGGCCCTTGGAAAAGCCATACTGTTGTGCCGTGTTCTCACTCTTTGGTGACAGTGTAGGAATATGTACTTAAATAAAACTATCACAATATAAAAATACTCTTAACTCCTTCACATACTGCTGGATATTTTAATTATAAATATCTTATCTCATTAAATTGTGGCTTTAGTTTAGTTATAAATCCAAACTTTAAAAAGCAATATTTGGTAACAGATACTGCACCAGTGTGTCTACTGTATAACAGTCATATCGTTATAGTCATACTGTAAATCTTTATTCAGAGAGGCTGATAGATGCAGATATATGTGATAGATTGTTTAATCAAGTTTCTAATTATCCTAAGGTGGGGGTGGGGCAGAGGGGTGGGGTCTCATGTATCTTTTAAATCTTGTCTTATTGCCTTTTTCTGTCTTTATGTCTAAAGCAGTTTTAATTAAATTGTTGCTGAAAGGCACCATACAAATAGACTCGCATTGCATTGTCTACGTGGCCATGCAGCATACACAGCTGAAGCAGAGCAGCTCTGCTGATGCTGATGAAGTAGCCAGGATGTAAAACTGCCTCTTCACTGCAGCAATAAACCGACTGGAGGCAAATACACAATACATGGTCTTGGAATCGTCATTCGATTGTTAACAAGTACTCAGAGGGGATGATGTGGGGGTAGACAAGATGATCACTGTTATGACCTGAAAATGTGACGTGTGTGCCTGATGATGACATTTCAGATGTAGCTGTGCCTTTTATTTGTTAGTCAGCCACTGCCACTGTCACCAGTAGTTGCCTTTTACAGCTATTGACTGAAATGCGCTGGCCTGCACTGACTTCACTTGTTGACTCTGCACATGCCTGAGCACATTATTGTCAGAGTACAGGCCCATGTGTTTTCATTCAAACTGAATGACTTGAATGTGAAAGCTGGGACCTGCTTCCAAATCCCCTTTGGATTAAAATCCTATAAACTTTAGTATTTCATTTTTAGTTTTACAGCAATTTTTGTAAATCTGGCTCGACTGTACATCATGATAAAACACATGATGGATGTTTAGATGGATTATTATCACACAGGACATACAAGAATCCATAAACATAGCTTTTTATGTAAATGTGTGATCATTCCCAGGCAGAATAAATAAGAAAAATAATTTTTGGCCGACAGATAAACTGCTCCAGGACCACACCAGCCTGGCATTTACACAGATGTTTGCACACCCAGCAGAACAATACAACATATAATGTGAATACTGTATGATAGAATGACTGTGAAAAGTAACATTATATGAACAAACAGAAAACCTGAGCAAAATATTTAATTCTCTTAACTCTTAGCTGAACCTTTCTCCCATTAATCCTCCAGCACCAGCTTTGAATTTCCAGCAGGTGGCGCTACATCCAAACATAAGCCTCATATTGAAGTCACTGACTTGCTGCTTCTGTTATTTATGGTAACACAGTTCAAATGAATGAAGAATTTAAAGGAATCACGTAGAATGATCCCTTCAGGTTAACTGAGGGAAACAAATTCAACTAGAGATTTACTCAAAAATAAGACTAAGATAAGATCAGTTCTTCACTTATTCCACTTGTATCATTTCAATGTGAGACAAAATGTCTGATAACACGTTATCATTGGAGTGATATGCTTTCTCTGAGTCAGTTGTGTGTTTTTCATCTTACAGAAATTCTTCCCCGCCAACAGACTGATGCTCCCTAACAGTGCCTAAGTGGGGCAGCCTTGATTAGCTGCTGATCACAGAGGGGAGAATTGTAAATGTTGCTATGTGGGTCACAGTGTTGGTGAATAACAACACTTTTTGGCTTGATGCAACGTATTTACAAAGCTGAGAACCCGGTGATGCTACAGTACGGCTCTGCATCTTTGAAGTTAAATCAAAGGGGAGGGGGAGCGGAGTGTCAGTGCTATTTTTCATTGGTTTTCACCTCCACATGCAGGCTATTCATTTTAATTGTTGGATTAATTGAATTCCCCCTGGCAAACAGCTCTGTGTGATTCATTATTCATTCCATAATGATTTTAATGTTAATTTCATGAGGTTTTCATTAATGAATGCAGAGCGTTTAGAGGTTTCCCCATTTTCTGGCTAATGCAGCAGGAAAGAGAAGCTTTCAAACAGACTGTCTTGGTGCTGAACATGATCCACACACTGCTTTATGAAATGAAAAAGCATTGTTTATGAATTTGCTGTTTTCCCATCAGCAGACTCCATATTTCACAAAATGACGAGCCACACACACGGAGCCATCACATACGGCAGAGCCTAATTGGGAGAGAATGGCAACAGAAATAAAAATGGCCAACATACCACAATAGCTGGGAGTCTCCCTGTTTTAGCCTCTCCATAAATGAGCAGGATAATAATGTGGAGCTGATCTGCTGACAGACAGGCTGCTCCAGCTGTTCCCATAATTCGACAGGTATTACGCTTTGGCCCTTAGCAGTCTGCCTCAGCAGACCGGCACTTAATTAGCCAAAGATTAAGGCCAAACAGCCTCATTTACGTGAATTGTATCATAAATACAAAGTGGCTACCCTCTTTCCTTCAGGGGGCATCAGGGGTAAATATGAAAAACGCAGGTTTGCTGAAAAAGACGGTGCTCCAGGCCTTGCACTCCAGATTTCTCAACAATGAAGACTCTTTCCCCCTGCTGAGGGGTGCTGCTTTTGAGCACACGCTTTAACCCTTCAAATCCAGGGAGACGGAGATGAAACAGCTTGATTTACATTTAATTCAGATTATGTAAATACACTGGTTGTGTCCCAAACCAAACATGGGACACAATGCAAGCTGCCTGCAGCACCGAGCAAAGATGGCCTCTATTGTTATTCAAATTTAAGGAATAAGATATTTCTTTTATACGTGGTCTCTGCTTTTAATTGAACTCCTGATGAGATATAATATGTTCTTCCCACAAAAACTGATAACTGCTCATTATTTTCAGTTGGCAACCTCCACATACTATCATACTAAGTCTGTTTGCTTTTGCTCTTGTTTGGAGGGCGATTGTGCATGGCATCTGGCTTTGCCACCAGGGTTGTGCATCTATTTAATAGCATTATAGGGGTGTATCAGCTATCACCAAGTGCATGGGTGGAGGCAAATCCCCAGTGGGCATGTGCACGTGCATCGAGTGAGCCCGACTCTGCCAGTCTTTCCCCTGGGCACTGGGCCTCCTCCGTGCGTCTGGAGGCTCCAGGATGTCTCCCCCATTATTCTCTGCTGACATTAGTATGCATGAAGGTCTACGGTTTACCTATTACTGTATGTGTGGGTCCTACTCCATTACTCAATACTGCTTCCCATGTGAATGTGCTTATTTTGTTATCAATATTTTATGACAGTCCCTCCACTCACACTGTGCCGATGACACAAGGCTGCACAAGCTGGTAAAACCAGGCAGGACTGTTGGCAGACTTCTTGTCAGGCTGGGATTTGCTGTTTGCTGAAAAAGGTATTCAGATCCTTTTCTCAAGTAAATGCAGCAAAACTACAATGTAGAAATATTCCTTTACTCCTCCTTTAATTATGCATTCATATTTTTACTGAAGTACGACAAAGTACCTGCAAAATAACTGATCTCTCTTTATTTCTCTCCAATAGTAGTAAATAGTTGTTTGTCTCTGTATGTCAGCCCTGTGATAGACTGGCGACCTGTCCAGGGTTTTCCCACCCTGCTTCTTACCTAAGGTCAACTGGGATCGGCTCCACCTGCCACCAGCTGTTGAGTGAGCCTACCCTCTTTTCTTTTTAAGCTTCTATAACAAACTTTCCCCCCATGTTTTTGCCTGGGCCGCCCTCTGTAAATGTACAAGTATATTGTCTGTAAAAGTATATTGTCTGGACCTTGTTGAGCAAAATGCTCCCTGGTTTTTAACCTTTACAACTTAAAAAAAAGACATCCTGCCAGTCCGTTCCTACCTCCTGACACTGACCTCTGGGTAACTGACTTTAAATGTGATTGATGTATCAATCATTATATCCAAGGGTTGATATTGGTTATTCCACAACACATTAAAAACACATTGATCAACCACAAACCACATGTTCCTTTCTTACCATGATAGGTGCTGTCGTTAATTTTGAGTCAGTGCCTCATACACTGTCCCGCTGCTGCAAATACTCTCTGAAAGATTGGTTCCTAACCTTTTCTACCTATAACCTCTAACATGAAGCAATGGCTGCCTGCAAACTCTTTACATGTTTATGAGCTGTGAGCAGTTGAATTAAGGAGTTAAAGTTGGTTAAGCTAAACAGTATTCATAAGAGAAGGGCAGAAAATCAGACCAAAAAAGTGTTTGAAAATAATCTTAAAAATAAATAGATTAGAAATGAATGTAATTTTGTGTCTTGTGAAAATGCCCTATACCCCAAAAATCATCTCCTGATCTATTTGATTGATGCACAATTTACTACAGTTTGACGAACGTTTGCTAGAGAACAA